ACGACGCTCCAATATGTTGAGAAAAAACGGATATATATCCGTTTTTTCCCACCCACCCCCTAATTGGGAAAAAGGAAAAAATTAGGTGAGGGGATTGGGCAAAAAAGTAATTTTTTAGCCTAGGCCCTTCTAAAATTCTCAAAATTTTCGCCTGCGGCGCTAAAATCAACTGGTCATTTCGGCCCGGAACCGGGAATTTACTTTTCAAAAATTCTCAAAAATTTTCAAAATTCTATTTTTTGTCAGTATGATCCCTGATAAGAAGCGTTTGTCGGAATTCCTATCTCTGCCTTACGATTTTCGACCTCCGATATTCGTAAACAAAGTTAGTTATGCTGCATCCAGTTATTACCTTGTTATCTACCCGTTACTCGAATTTAAATAAATTTGACATTTCGAAAATTCTAGCAAGGCTGACCATTTTGAGAAAAAACGGATATATCCGCGGATATCCGCGGATGGATATGCCTAAAAAGTTGGACGGATACAAACGGATACGGATATTGACCTCACGGATATATCCGGATACGGATAGCAAAATCCGTGTCCATGAGCAGGTCTGATGCAAATTTTAATTAAAGCCAAGGGTCCCCGTTTAGATATTGTGTGTCCGACAAGATATTCTAAGGCAAGGCAAAAAATTTAAGCTGTTCAAAAATTTGAGTTCTTTAGTCTTGACTCAAGACTTTTCTTGGGGGTTTTCGGTCTTGAGTAAGTCTTGAGGTTTGGAAATCAGAGAAGCACAGAAGCATACAGAGGTTGGTCGCAATTCCGAATTCCGACAGTTCTGATTTTCGGCGTCTTCATCATTCCCTATCGAAATGATGGTGTCGAAGTATAATTTTTTTTATTTTTTAGATCTAATAGAAGCAGGGTTGTCGTTTCCAAACCACTAAAATGGGGCGCAGCCACTCAAAAATAGGGAAAAAATAGGGCGAAATTGGTAAAAAATATGGCAAAAAATAGGGCAATATTTTAAAAGCTTAAAATTTATTGAAATTTCAAATAAAAAGGCTTATTCCGCATGTTCTCCGCTAGTTTTAACTAAATTTCTAAAAAACAGTAAAGTTCAGATTAGAGACTAGCCTGGGAATGTCGTACGTGAATAGTACGAGATATCTCGAAAAACTGAAATTTTTTATCGTACGACAATCGCAAGAGATGTCTCTCTCGATTTCGATAATCAAGTTTATCTTCAAGAGCTTTGTAACCAATAGATTTCTTCCATATTTAGCAAAATTTTGAGAAGTTTGTACAGTTATCAAACCAGATTTTTTCCTTTTTTAGCGCCGAAGGCGAAAATTTTGAGAAATTAAGAAGAATAATGTGAGATATTTCTCTTTTTTCAGCGCCGCAGGCGAAAATTTTGGAAATTTTTATGTCCAGGAGTTAGATTTCTTTGTTTTTTTCGCAATTTATATACAAAATGCCTGAAAATTTTAAAAATATTACAAAATGTTAAAAATAGGGCAAAATATGGCAAATGTATAAAATAGGGAAAAAATAGGGCGAAAAGGCCAAAAATAGGGAAAATCCCCTATAAATAGGGTAAAACGACAACCCTGAATAGAAGTCAGGCGTTTATTTTTCAAGGGGTATGTACTATTGAGTAGGCTTCTAACAGGGAATGGGCTTCTTTAGAACATTTTACGGCATTTAAATTAAAAAATAAAAATCTGACCGTACTCCCTACAACGGTTACTAAGGCTAACAAACATAGCAATACCAAAATAAGCTTCATATTGGATAACAAATTAGTTAAGGTTTTAAGGAAATTTTATTTTCAAAGCAGAATGATTTTGTTACCAACTAAACAATCTTTGCTTAAATATTCAAAAATCTCCATAAAAACCCATAAAAACATCATCCGAAAATATTTGACAAATGTTTTGAAAAAATATTCTTTGACACTGTTACACAGCATTTTCGCTTAGAATAAAGAAATTGTGATGAAAATTAAATTTAAAATTTCCTTCTTTTTTTAATGAAATTTTATTTTTTTTATTTTTTTATATTTTTTTATTTATTTAATACCATAGGTCAGGGAAAATAAAAATTATTTTTAAAATCCACGTAGTGTTATGACAATAAAATAAAATTATGTAATTATCAAATGACAGAGAAGCTTTAAAATGTTTGTTTAATTTTTTTCCTAAATAGTTGACGTGATAAAATATGAAAACAAAAGTGTTTATTTAAATTAATATTTTATCAAATAGGTACTAAAATTATTTAAAAAATATTTGGTACTAGGGTACCAAACTACCGGTTATTAACCGGTTCCCCCGGTTTTCGGTTAATCCCAATTTAAAAAACCCCGTCTTCGGTTTTGAGTTTTGGACAAATACCGGCTTTATGTATAATAAAGCAGCTTGGGCTATATCTATTTCTCTCCTTTAGCTAGTGCAAAAGGTTAATCGGCGGCTGGGAGCGAACCAGCATCTTCAGTAGACCGGACTGATGTGTTAGCCATTACACCACGACGCCTACTGCACAGCCTTAGGAAATAAATAGATATACAGTGAGGAGCAAAAGTTTGGAACATTTTGCTTTAAATTAGTAAATCAATAATTTTTCTTTCATTTATCAGTTAATCGTCTGGATTAAATTTTTTGGTACTATGCGTTTATATCCCCCCACGTCCGCAAATGTTTGTCCGCACTTTTCTTCTTCTCCTTTCTCCTCTCAAGGATTAGAAATGGTCAAATATTAGCAAACACGCATTTTCTTTTTCTTCTCCTTTTCCTCTCATAGAGATTAAAAATGGTCACGTAAAATAACGGTCAAGAATTTTTCTAATAAATATTTAAAGTGTTTGACTCGATAAGTCAGGCCTGAAAGTGACTCGTACAGACCCGACTCGATAAAAAAAAGCCCGTAAAAACGCCTCGATCGTCGGCCCGACTCAAAAACGGCAACCCTATTTCTTAACATTTTCTTATTTTTACATTTATGTATATCTTTCCATAAACGAATATGAATCTATCCTCTATTTTACTTGATCATTTTTAATCTCTATGAGAGGAAAAGAAGACGAAAAAGAAAATGCGAGTTTATTAATACTTGACCATTTCTAATCCTTGAGAGGAGAAAAGAAAAGGAAAAAAGTGCGGACAACATTTGCGGACGTGGGGGGATATAAACGCATAGTACCAATTTTTTAAAAATATCTATAAGTGTTGTCTTTAATATGACATTAAATGTTTCTAATAAGCTTCGCATATTTTTATATTTTACCCTATTTATATTTTATACCTAAAAAATAAGGGGTGCAAAAGTAAAATGTGGGTAAGTCACTTAAAAAAATATTTTCGACCTCTTATGGATAGTTTTGAACTTTCATTTTGTGCTTATCTTAAAGCCCTTGAAATTTGCTTTAAGATAGCATTAATATAATTTTTAAGAAAAAATTTGATAGCGAGATTGTGACCATTTATCTTTCTGATACAACAAAAAACGCCTAAATGCCCCATAAAATGACCTTTCAAAAATAAAAGGGTCTATATCACCCGAATAGATTTTTCCTGAAAAGTAAAATTATACCTATCTTGTAGCAAATTTCAAGGGCTTTCAGATAAGCCCAAAATCGAAATTCAGAATGACCCATAAGAGGTCGAAAATATTTTTTAAGTGATTTACCCCTATTTTACATTGATTTCCGGGGTGTCATGATCTCCGGTTAGAGTAACGATATGGACACAGTTTCTTTTTATTCTTTTACAATATCATTATCTTTGAACGATGAAAATTTTATAGATTTTTTTCGTTGGAGTTTTCCATAAAAATACAACAAAATCAAAAATGTTCCATACTTTTGCACCCCTTATTTTTTAGGTATAAAATATTTTAAGGATAAAATATAAGAATATCTGAAGATATTTAAAAACTTTTATTTTCATTCTATAGATAACACTTATATTTAATTTAAAAAAATTTAATCCAGCTCATTCGTTGAGAAATGAACGAAAATTTATTGATTAACTAAATTACAACAAAATGTTCCAAACTTTTGCACCTTACTGTATGTATGCTTTACATTTTCGGGGAATTTTTACTAAAATCACTCATTTCCACAAGTTTTCGGTTTTTTAATTTTGTAAAAACTGTTTAATCTTGGTATCAAAATTTTGGTTTTAAACCAAGTCGAGCACAACTCTATTTGGTCGATCAAATTATCGGCCCACATTTTTATTTTCTTTATTTCTGCTTTGGAGAGTAGGGTACATAATGGTAGAAAGTATTTTTTTCGTCTTGGCGATACACGAACTTTATTTTAGCAGACGTCTAAAAACACTTTTGCATTGCCAACACTATTAATCTGTAAAAAGTCATTTAAGCCTCACCAAAAGGCAAAGCAATTGCAAAATTTTTCCAAGTCGCCACTTTGAAAGGGCAGGTTACAATTAGTACCTCAAACTTGGGTAATTAAACCGACGACTGCAGCAAAAACAAAATATACAAGCAAAAAACAATGATAAATTTCAGACGCTGCATAAAATAACAGAAATTTGAGAGAAAAGGGTGTAAGAACACTAAATGTTTATACACTCTCTTACACATTTTCATTTCTCTGCTTTAATGTGTTCTCTTTAGTTTTCTTTCAAAGAGCGAAAAAATGCCCAAGCACTAAAAAATAACGAGATCTCTACACTTCAGTGACGGTCAAAATGGTCAGAAAGGGAAAATATTTAAAATTGTCACGGCCCTGGAGTTTTCATTCTTGAATTCCATTCCGCGTTTCTGATGTCTCCTCCTCACGTTTCTTTTCTTTGATCGGACGACAGCTTGGCGCATCTACTTTGAGGAGTAAATCACTATGGCACAAGCCCACTATGGCGCTGGGCCGTCGCGCCATAGTGGGCCGCGCCACAGTGTCCGCGTTCCTTTTGTTAAAATTAAAAAATTTCAAAAATTTTAATTTAAGAATTGACTTGTGTTTAAATTTCTACTAATTTTCTTTTCTTTTCACAGAGTTAAACAATTGTATATTTTATTAAAAAATGGATACAAGTTTCAACGATAGTTCAAATGTTTTTGAGAATGATGTCCAATATTTTGAGACTTTTAATTCGATTTTGAAGGTTGTTGATGAACGTGAAACGGAGGTTTTTTTTGGTTAATTTAATTAATTGTTTTTAATTTAAAGTTGCCTAATTCCCGTGTATTTTCTTTGTGGGAAAATGTTTTTAAATCCGAAAATGTTCTGGATCAAAAAATTAAGAAGTCAGCTTCTTATCAAGGTTTTCTTTTTTATTATTTTTGGTTTATGGGGAAGGGTGAAAGTTTAGTAGGTAAGATTTCGACAAAAATGAAATAATTAGAGTATTTAAAAGGTTATTAATAGACAGTTAAATGACACGCAATAAGGTTGGGTGTCCAGGGTGACCATTTCCAAAGCACTAAAATATGGCAAAATTGATTACAAATAGGGCGAGAATATGGCAAATGAAAAAATAGGGCAATTGCCCTATAAATAGGGTAAAATGGTCACCCTGAGGGTTGTCAAATATGAATTTGAAAGACTAGGGTATTAAATGTACTATTTTTTAAATGCTCTAATTTCTTTATCTTTGCTGCCCTCAAACGATAATACGTACATACTATTTATTTTGGGATTCCTTGCCTTATACATGTAAGCCTTCTGAGTTCCAATTTGAGGGGGGGGGGGGGGTAGTGGCATCCTCGTTTACCTTTATTTTGGAAATATTCAAGTTTATATTAGTTAATTCTTGATGTTTAGTTTTACTTTTAAATTTTTTAGAGCTCGAAAATGTTCTTAAATTGGAGAAAGAGTCTTTGGCTGCAGTTGAAAATGAATTAGCTAAATTAAAAATTCAAGTCGATCAACAATTAAATGAATATAATTTGAAGCGTGATGAAATTCTCGGTTTGGTTTTGAATGGTAAGTCGTGCATTTTATTTATATTTGGGGTGTTTTAATAGATATATTGGACCTTGATCTAGGCATTCAACTTATTTTTGAATCTAGTTAAGTTATGAAAATTAGGGTTTTGACTTTTATGTGGTTGTCAAATGTTTTTTGTTTTTGCGGACTTCCATATTGCAAAATCAAAAATGTTGTCATATTGTTAATAAACATCGTGGTAATACCACAGCTGGTCCCCTTCTTTTCTGCTTCCCTGACCATTTTGAGCTTTTTTGCTTGACATACAATTTACAATAAATCATTCGAAAGAGCTGTTCGAGCTGACATGAGTAGAATGATACTATGATCGGATGGATTTGTCAATTTTGACCAAAATTATGGTCAGAATTGACAAATTCAACATCGCCTTTTATTTAAGAAATGCGTTAAAATTATCCACAAAAATTCAAATTCGGTTTACTAATTTCGGTCAATTTTTCCATTTCACTTTTTAATAACCTTTTTTTTAATTCTCTATTAAAATTTAATTTAAGATGACGAGAAAGAAAATAACGAAATTTCAATTTCTGAGCGTGATATTATGGAGCCACAGGTTAAAAATTATTTAAAGGACCTCAAACACGCCAAAAAGAAACTTTTGAAGCAACAGAAAATTTTTGATAAATTCACTTAATTTCTTTTATATTTTTGAGGACTTGTTTATTGCAAAATCAGAAAATGTTGTCATATCAGGTACCCTCCATAAAGGTTTGGTTGCATAATTATAATTTTATGGGGAATTTTGTTTGAAAGTCAACTCTATATTTTTTTAAGAATTTTAAAATTCCCTTTGTTTTTGATTTAATTTTTTCTTCATTGTAGCTTATAATAATTATGCCCATGCTTTCATTATTTTTAATATTGTCCGACTTTATTTTTGATCTGAAAATAAAAACAAATTCACTAATTTTAATGCCAAATCTTTTCATTTTTTAGAGATTGGAATTTTGAAAAAACAGGGTCCGGGAAACATTCCCGTTCACGGTTTCATCCCGTTGCTTCAAAAAACCATGAAAAGTGACCCGAAACTGGTCCAGGACCCGTTCCGATCTCTAATTTTTTGTTTTCTTTGAGTAATGTCCCATTTAATCCATTCGTATAATTTATTTTTTTGTCAATAAAATTGAAATGATTTAAAAATAATTTTGACTATTTCTGTGTGTTAATTCACTTTAATAAAGGAAATATTTTTTGTAATCTTCAAAAACATTTTAAATTTTTTATAAAACCAAAATATGGATGAAGAAGAAATTTCAGAAAGATTTGATTTTGATCAAACCGATTATGAATTTGCTACTGGAGCAAGACGTTTTAAAAGGCAAACGGAGGAGGAAAGAATTTATGGTTTAAATTTAAATGAATTTTTTTATTTATTCTTAATTTTTTAAGGAATTTGGGCCAGAGATGAAGATAGTGACGACGATGCTAGACCCTCATTTAGTTCGGGAAAGAAGAGGAAGGACGGACCTGTTAAATTTGTGTCTGTTGGTGTTGAGAAGACATCAAAGGTTTGGATATTTATTGGTTCCATTGTGGAGGCAAGGTGGTTCTGTATAGAGGGGGACAAAACTAAACCGACCGGTTAATTTCGCCCTGTGGCGGGACAAAAAGAGAAAAAACCTTGCCACAGCGAAAAATTAACACGGCGGTTAACCGGTTGTCCTACACTAGTTTTATATACCTTGACTGACTTTGTTTTTTTGAATGTTCTCTATTTATGAGTTTATTTTTTTAATTATCATTTCGAAATATTTTTAATTAGCTTCATCAATCTCTTCAACAATTTTCATTTTTTAATATTTTATTGAACAATTTTTCAATTTAGGAGTCTACATCAACCGAAGCTGATGAAATCACAATAGAAGCACGTCCAGAAAAACGTTCAAAACCTTCGCCTTTTGATCAAAGATCAACTAGTTCCGTTGGAAGTGAAGTCTTTGCCGGTTTTAGAAATGCTGCTTTTCAATTTGCTAGTGCATCCGGAGCAGATGCTGGATGGTTAAAGTCTGGAAAAGGAAATGTTGTTATGCAAATGATGCAGGTTTCTTTTACTATTGTTTGTTCATACTCTTTATTTTTTAAGAAAATGGGTTATGAACAAGGAAAGGGCCTTGGAAAGAGCAAACAAGGAATTGTTGAACCAGTCCAGGCTGTTCAAAGGCCTGGACGTGGGGCAGTTGGTGCTTATGGAAGTGAAGCTAAAGGGCCTAGATTTGGAGGTATTTAATTACACAATGGTTTTTTATACTCAATAGAATAATATCCACGAGTATTCTTTTTAGAGATCGGAAATTTTGAAAAATTTGGACCTGTTCCTGGACTTTGGGGTTGTTGACCAGGACTGGATCCGGGACCTGAAGTCCAGGAAAAAACCCAGGCCCAGGAAAACCCCAAGAAGGTCAAAAAATGCTTGGACCTGGATCTGGGTACATGAAAAACCCAGGCCTTGGTCCAGGCCCAGGCCGATCTCTTTTTCATTTCTACGTCTGCTATCTACAGCCGCTGTTCAAAAAAAATTTTGAAAAGCAGGTCATTTGTTAGCTTTCCAACTCTTCTTTCCTAATAATCGTTTTTGCTTTTGATAATGGAATTTGATTAATGTGACATTTAATAATCCCGAAATTTTTTAGAATCAGCAGCTGAAGCCCAGAATCGGATTAACCAAAGTGGAAGTTTAAATAATCTTTCTGAAGCAGAGACAGCACAATTTCCTGCGAGAGGAACATGGCGCAAAAGCAATGCGGGAAAAGTTCGAATTCAATACAAAACATTAAATGACGTTATAAGTGAAGGAGAAAATCAAAGATTTGGTGATAATGGATTTGGTGCAGTTAATGCTGTTGGAAAGGTTTGAAATTTAAAGAAAATTTTCTCTTATCTGTCTTTTAAGTATCAAAAATTCAAAAAAAAATAAAATTCAATTTTTTTATAGATTATTGACATGACAGGTCCTGAACAGCGAATTTACGAGGATTTTAATTCCTTTTCCAGAAGAGCCAGGTTTATTCATTAATTTTATCATTTTTATTGTTTATTTAGAATGCCAATAATAGCGGATGTCGAAAGAACAAACTTCAACGTTCCCGAATTAACACACAATTTAAATACATTGTTAGATGTTACTGAAGAGGAAATTTGTAAAACTGATAGACAAGTTCGTTATTTAAAGGTATAAATTGAAATTCTGCACTATATGAATGGAAGGGTCCCTTCCCAATGAAGGGAAGGGGGCCTTGCCTTTATTATTTTTTATAATAATTTTTATTTTAAAAGGATCAAAACGAAGTTTTATTGAATGAGCAAAGCCGAATAGAGGACGAATTGGCTGAAAGTAAAGCAGAAATTGTTAGACTTGAGGAAGTTTACAGTATTGTCAAACAATTTTATCAAGAATCTTCACTTGAAAATTCTACATTGGAGGAATGCAGGGAATTGTTTATTACGTTGAGAGAGAAATATTCTGTCGAATATACATTGTATGGACTTGATGCTATTGCAATTCCTGTTTTATTGCCAAAGGTTGTTTCTTTACTTTTGTTTTAAGCATTGGGCCTCTGAGTACAACTAATGTTAGTCGATGACTGGTTGGGGATTCTACGTCCAAACCCTTTTTTTATTTTTGTAAATTTTAAAAATAAATGATAATTTTACACGCTAAAATTAGCATATCTAGAATACTTTGGAGATTCTAAAGTTATTTCTATAACGGTGATAGCTTTAGATACTTTTTAAATTTTGCCGTAGACACTTTTGACTGATAATGAAATTTTTAAATATATTAACACCAATTTTTGTTTTTTTTTCTTTAAGATAAGTAAATATTTCTCTACATGGGACCCACTTGATCCAGAATACGCTTCTTATGGTTTCGAAATGATGGAAGATTGGAAAGAAATATTGGGATCAACAAAAGGCGGTTCTTTATTCAAGCATTTTGATAAAGATTCAAGTATATTTAAAACCTTTCTATTCTTTTGTTTGAATTTTCTTTTAAAGACGCCTCAATCTCTGCTTATGATCATTGTATTTGGAGTGGGTGGATGCCTAGTATGCGCCGAGCAGCTCTTACTTGGAATCCAAGAGATAATGGCCCGGTTATGGTCAGTCTAGTACAGAAATGGATGCCTATATTGCCTAATTGGGTGCTGGAAAATTTACTTGAACAGGTTTTTTGTTTAAATTAAAGCTTGAATTTAAATATTTTTAATAGGTTTTGGCTCCTAGAATCAAAATTAAAGTAGACGATTGGGATCCAGTGACTGATCCAGTTCCAATTGAAACGTGGCTACATCCTTGGCATGCAATTATGGGAGATCGTTTGTTACATACATATGCGACGCTCAGGCAAAAACTTGCAAAAGGATTGAATAGTTGGCTTCCTGGAGATAGAAGGTTTGGAATTATGTATTTTTGGGTTTTTTTCTTATGCTGTAAAGCATAGGACTTCCTTCTAAAAGCTAGTCACATGATACATATCTAAGGATTCATTAGGAACACCTGGGTTTCCTCCACTATGCATATTTTCGCTCGAATGCCACTTTCTTATCTCTTGTTATATCTCTGGTCTGATTTAGGGTTGCCAAAATGGACCGACTCGGACCGAAAGATCGAGTCATGCCTCGATGTTTGGCCCGAAAAAGTCTCGTACCGGCCCGACTCGATAAAGTTGGGCCCGAAAAAGACTCGTAACGGCCCGACTCGATAAAGTTAGGCCCGAAAGTGACTCGTACCGGCCCGACTCGATAAAAACAGGCCCGAAAAAAATTGTCTCGGAAAAAGTCGGCCCGACTGGAACAAGACTCGATAATATTTTTACCAGATTTATGGCAAAAATGGGAGAAATCTGGCTCCTTGGCCTTCCAAAATTCGAAAAATTTTCGCCTGCGGCGCTGAAAAAGGAAGAAATTTCCGCAGTCCGCAATTTTAACTTTAAAATACGCAGTCGTAATCTTCAGTCCACAAGTCAAAAACACACAATCTTACGCAATCCGCAGTCCACCATCCGGGATATAAGGTGTAATCTGGGAATATAAGGCAGTTTGAGTGATTTAGTCAAGGGCGTATCCAGGGGGTCCAAAATTCTCAAAATTTTCACCTGCGGCGCTAAAAATAGAAATCTGGTTTCCTGACTTTCCAGTAAGCCCTTATCTAAATACGAATAGTTCAATCATGGTACACTGGGATTTTATTAAGGGATTTGGTGATTAACGCACGATATCACTTAAATCTTGCGTTATCCTTCAAATCTCCGATATCCATTCAAATCTCTTCAATCCTTTTAAATCCCATTACAATATAGCACCTTAATTATCTGATATGCGATCCTGATCTCCTTAATTATCTGATTTCCTTTAATAAAACCAAATCTAGCAATATCTCACATTAATCCTCCGATAATTTAAATCACCTTAATCCCTCAAATCCACTGATATCCATTTCAATTCTCTTCAGCCCTTCCTTTACCTTCCAGATCCATCGATATACTTTTTAATTCACAGATATCCCTCCAAATCCACTAATTATTTTTAAATAAATCTTTTAAAAAAAGACTCGAAAATGTCTCGATGCCCGACTCGATAAAGTCAGGCCCGAAAGTGACTCGTTCCGGCCCGACTCGATAAAGTTAGGCCCGAAAAAGACTCGTATCGGCCCGACTCGATAAAGTAAGGCCCGAAAAAGACTCGTACCGGCCCGACTCGATAAAAACAAGCCCGAAAAAAAATGCCTCGACCGTCGGCCCGACTCGAAAACGGCAACCCTAGTCTGATTATATACTTGCGTATTGCCGTCAATGATAGATATTAGTTCCGCCTCATTATCAGCTTCTTTTTAGCATTTCGAATTTTTATTTTTCCTTCTTTTTCTATACTGGTCTTTTAATTGTTAAAAAAATCTTTCAAAAATCCCATTTAAAAATTTTTATTAAAGCGCAATAGAAAGTATTCGTCCATGGAAAGAAATATTTTCTGCAAGTACACTCTACACATTTATTTCAATGAATATTCTACCAAAATTGAGTCGTTTTCTTCAAAACATTGATCTTTCAAATACTGAACAATTTGAATATATCGAATTATTTGATTGGTTAGAAATGGTTAATGTTGATGTTATTGCACAAATTTTGGCTAAAAATTTTTTTCCGAGAGTAAGAAATATTTTTAGATTTTTTTAAAAAAACAATTTTTTAAAGTATTCCCAACACGTTTCCTATCAAGTTACGAATCCAGCTATAACAATGGCTGAATTGGAAAGAATTAAAAAGGGTTATATGGATTGGAAGAATTTATTACCAACTGATATACAAAAACATGCACTTGTTATGAGTAGGTTTTTTGAGGATTTCTTCCGTTTTTTACCTTCTTTCGCCTTCCATTTTTAAAGAAGTGGAAGAGTCCCTTACTGGTATTTATTTTATCAGAGAAGAATTTTACGTTTCCATTAATCTTCAGAACTCAAAATGTTAAATTAAAAAGACAGTAAACAGTCTAAATAATATACAAGACTAGGAACTTTAGTGTTGTCCGGGCAGCTTTTAATATTTTTTATAAATTCTGTTGTGAGTTGGCATGGAAAAGTTGTCGTAGATTTAGAGGGAACTTATACCTATTTTATCTAAAATAATCCCCCTTCCTAAAATAGCCCCCTCTAGAGGTCAATCGAAAAAATAACCCCCGGTTTTATCTTAGAGAAAATACATTATTTAAGTTACTTCTAGTCCCCTCTCTCTACCGAAATTAATTTAATTAATGATTCAAAAATATTTAATCTTAAATATAATAATTATTTTTTAGGCGAATTAAGACAAATACTTCAATTATTAGCACAATGTCAAAATCGTTTAACCGGTCAAAATATTCCTGGAATTCATCAACAGTCAAAACCTCAACCATTATCATCTATTGGACCTTTTGGTTTACCTCCACCTTCTCCCCAATTTACTTCTCAATTACCCCCTTCTTCATTTAAACAATTAGTCGAATCAAGTGCTATATCTAATGGAATACAATTTTTCCCTCAAAGAAGTAAATTTCATGATGGAAAGCAAGTTTATATGTTTGGAGATTTTTCTGTTTATATGGATGCAACTGTATTATTTTACTATAGTCCACCAAGAAGGCAATGGTTACCTGCAAGTTTAAATGTATTATTAGACATGTGTAGAAGTAAATAAATGAGAAATTTGAATTTTTTTATTATTAAAAAATAATATTATTATTTAATTTTATAGAGCAGTAAAAAAATTGAAATTTTGAAGACTCTTTTGGAATATTTTTTGGTGTTTTTTGTTTGGGTTGTTTAGGGTAATTTAAGGAAACTGACAACCTTACCATATAATAAGTAGACCCTTACAAGTTCGAAAATTTTCCAAGACCCAAGACCACGACTAGACCCAAGAAGGCATCATTCAACTTCACCAAGGCTTCATTTCAAGACCAAGACTGAGAAAAGCCAAAGAAGTCCTGGAATCAAGACTTAAGACCAAGAGTCTTGGAAGGTTCTAATAATTAGAATTCTAATTTTTAGTTCTTTTTTTTCTCTAAACTTCCCCAATAGGAAAAACTTACTCAACTACATTAGCAAAAATCCAAAAAATTCTTCAAAGTTTCGATCTTTTTTTCCTTCCTGCTCTCACTTTTTTTTCTTTTTATGTCTTTTGTGAAAAAGCTTAAATTTTATAAATAATTGAAAAGATTGAAAGTTTAAAAATCTCATCAGTTTAAAAATTTTTTTATTTTACAAAAAATTTTTTTTAATCTTTCCCTTTTTTAACAAAATTAAATTTAAAAAAAATTAAAATCAATAAATTCTAAATTAAATTTCTTTTTAACTTTCTTTACTTTTTAATAAGTTAATTAATTATCTAAATAGGTTTTGACTAATTTTCTTCTAACCTTTTTTTATTAATTAATTGTTATATAACAGCAATTGGCTATATTTAATAATTAAATATCAACAAAAAACACTTGTTATTTAATTTATTTTTTATTTGTTTGGGTAGTCTTTGGAAGACAAAAAAAAGCTTCTCCTTTACTAACTACATTTTTGCAAGTAATAAAAGACCAAAGAAACCCCACACTTTACAATGGATCCAAAGGGAAAGGATATTTCCATGAGTAATATAGGGACATTCGGCGCGGGGACGTTACGGCGCGGGTTTAATAAATCTGCAAAAAATTGCCTGGGGCTATGAAAATTTTTAAATTAAATATTAAAAATATATTATGTTAATGTCAGATTTGATCATAATTTTAATTTAAAATTCTGAAAAATTTCGACTGAAAAATGTTTAAGAAAGCCTCATGCATATTTTTGTTGTATTTTTTAACTACTACAACCTTTGAAATAGGCAAATAAGATTTTTGAAATTTGTAGAGGAGCTGATAAAATGAACGTTTTCTCATATAAATCTTGAATTTCCTTAGGTGTGCCTGTCTGTTTATAATATGTACTTTTAAAGTTTTTCTAAAAATTTACTTTATTATACATATGTAGTATTAGTGAGCGCCTTAAAACGCCTCGCGCCGAAACACCCCCAAGTACTATAGTATTTCTTTGCCAGCCAAGCCCTAAAGAGAATAAAAGAGCGCAGTCATATTTAACCCTAAATGTGCCAGATGTGTGCTAGCTAGCGGCTTTGTCATAAGATGAGAAATGGATTGAGAATGAGTAGTGAGTAGTTTAAAAATATTTGGAATATTAAAGGCCGCGCGAGTTTTGTGTTGTTGTTATTTTGAATGAGTCATTTATGTTTTTAATAAATAATTTATACATTTTTAGTTTTTCTAATGTTATTTTCCTTGTTTTTTAATTATGGCATGTCCTCCTTAATAAAAAATATTTTTATTTATTTTAATGGCTTATATTGGATTGTTAATTAATTTTTAGAATGATTTGGAGGACATTTCACCGAAAACGACAATTCACCGAAAAATATTTATTAGCCCTGTTTAATAAATTTTTTTGTAAAAAACACAATGAGCTCCTTAATTTTACTTCTTTTTATTTTTAGAAATATTTCAAAACGGAAAATAAATTTTCTTTACATGTGTTTTCTATATTTTCTGATTTAATTCAATTTCGGTGAATTGTCACTTTCGGTGAATTGTCCCCATAAATTTATACTAGTAGTAGATCTTTTTTTGTTGCCTTAGCTTATTAAAATATTCTTTTTTTAGTTGATTTTAAAGAGAAATGATTTTTCAAAATATCTGATTTAAATAATACATATTAATTTTGATTTAAAAAAAATAATCCTTAGGGGCACGTGGTGGGAAAGATTAGGAAATATTTTAATTAATTCTTTATTTAAAGGCTTCTTTTGCGCAATTTATTTATTTATTATCTATGTACATATTTTTATATAAAAATAATTTCAATTAAATATCAATCAAGTAATCAATCAATCAAAAATTTAAAAAAAAGCATCTGCCCCTTAAAACA